GTGCGAGAGTGTAATTTCCGGCCATCTAGAGATGCCCTAATCATAAATTTTCTTACCTCAGCCCCAGCCATGGTGGGGCTGAGGGTAGTGGTTCCTCATTCTGTGAATGTCCCTCCCTGGTTCACCTCTCTTTTGAATTTCTGCATCTGCCACTTATGTAATTATTTTGCGCTTATTTATAATGTGTCTATTGCAATTTTAACTTTATCCTCTCAAACAGTCCTAAGAATGTTCAGAGTGCGCTACTTCACAGGGGGATTCGCCCCCTTGACCCCGGCGGGGTCCTTCGTAATTCGCATAACGGCTCCCCCCCCCCTTTCAAAATCCTGGCTACGTCCCTGCTTGCTGTACGTCTAAACATCATTGTGTCATTCCCTGGTTTACATTAAGAATCAGATTCAAATTCTTCCATTCATACATATTATAAGTAAAATAGACATAAGCATACAGTTTTAACAGCTAAAACAGTGTGATAAGAGACATTTGATTATTAAGGTACAGTATATTATCTGTTGAAGAGACGGACGGCCGTGAGCATAAATACATAGCTTTCTAAACTTTGTTTTGACTAAAGATGACAAATTCTTTTCGAATTTATTATAATGATTGAATTATGATGCCGATTAGTGCAGTTGAATATCTTACTGGTTATATTCTTGCCTTCTAATCTCAGGGTCCTGGGTTCAATCCCTCTCACAGCAGGGTATTTTCTCACGACTAAAAACAACCCCACTTCCTAAGCCTCAATAAGAGCCTTGGTTTACAAAGCATCGTTCCATCATGTAAGTGGTGAGTGTACTTGCTGTTGAATGTGAAGGGAATAAAATTAAAGGCTTAGGCCTAGGTCTACATGAAACGGTAGTGTGATTTCAAAACTCACTGTACCATATAGCGTTGAATACTCTAGTACATTCTTCAATTAAATATTTTGTTTATCTTCCTTTTTCAGGGACATCCAATAGATGGCTGTGACGACACCTGATTCCATTATTTTCTGCAATTCATTGAAACCATACCTAACGTAGAAATTCGTCGATTTCACATTGCCGACAGTTGTCTTGAGAACCAGGTTTTCGTAACCATAAGTGACGCAATAATCTCGTGCAACGTCTAATAAACGACTCCCCACACCACGTCTTTGGTACTTCTTTGTGACGTACATACGCAAAAGCTCTGCGGTTCTTCCTTTGGGATTAGACGCGTATTTTCTTACTGCAACCGTCCCAATTACCTCGCCATCAAAAACAGCAACTTTGAAGCAACATCCATCTTCGTTTACAAATGAGTTTATTATATCAGTCATTTCAGTTTTTACAGTGTCACTACAATATGTCATGTAACAACGTAGTATTTGAAAATAACGAATGATGTAACATGATATTACAGTAAACATAATGTATGTTATCGATTCTGTGAAATAACCTATTAAACAGCAGACTATACTGGTACAAATCCACTCAAAATGGGAGATGAAAGTGAGTGATACGTTGCTATTCCAAAACAAGTCCACAAGTTCGAACGATTCTTTCTTGAATATTTTGACGGCAATGTCAGTCTCATTCGGCTCAATATCACGGATAAGAATCTCCTTTTTCGTGAGTTGAATCATTACGAAGTGTTTGGGTAAGCTGAACGAAACACTTTGAAAAGAAATCTCAGAAACCTAACGCTTACAGTAGGACAGCCAATAAGCGATTTCCGCAGCGCCACCTATCTTTCAAAAACGTAACCACGTTTTAAGCGTCGCTAAGCAAAATTACAGCAGATTTATCTATGTTCTTATTTACATATAAGGCCCGCCCATTACTTCCTTATATAGAAAAACATTTCGAAATAAGTGTATTTTCGGAACCAATCGGAGGTGTTCGGGAAAACCCACGTTAACACAAAGCATTTATCGATTGAAGTTGACACAATGTCATATGAAATAGTGAAAATCTGGTACGATTTGACTAGACTGTTATTTACAATTTTCTCCATAGTCGGATTTGCGTCCCCGGGAATCAATATTTTTTGAAGTGTTGATTTATCATGTTTAATCTTAGTTTAGTCGGGTAAAGACCTGTCTCAAATCTGTTCAAAAATTGTTAATAATACTTATAGGCCGTAAAATGCTAGGCAATTTGAGCATGTGTGAGCACGCGGTAGTCGTAGCTGAGTGACATTAGGCATTTTTCGTTTTGACTACGCGGCCAGTCTACTACGAACTAATAGAGCGTAACAGACATCTGCGCATGCTCACAAACCTAACTGGATAAATCGGCGTTGTGATAGCTTCCGCGACAACCCCAATTTCTGAATTTGGCGTAGTAGCGACTACCCTAATATTTACCAATCAGGTAACCGGATTCTTTGGCAAACTGCTCGTAATTTTTTTTGTTGGGGTTGCAATTTTCATCGCATCCGCGATCGAGCATTGTTCGTGCAATAATGAATTAATTATTAAAACAAGTGAGTAATTAAATGTTTTATGAAGGCCTATTTATACACATACAATAAATGAGGAATAAATAGTCACAACATAAAATTAGGTAAATCAGGGGATAGTGAAAAAAGGGGGCCTCTTAGGCTTGGACCTAGGCTAGCCTTGTCAGGGTGGATTTCGGGTAGGAGAAAACACATTCTGGTGCCGCTAGCTAGGGCATCTGGGCCTATGATATCGTGGATGAAGCCTTGCTATATAAATAACTATGTTTAAAATTGTTATGTACATTTATTTGTACATCATCGTTGCATTTGGCAAATTGCCTGAGCAGGCCTGACACCCCTCTTCTCCCGGTTCCCGACTCATTTACACCTAAGGCTAGGCTAGGCCTGTTTTCTGGAAACTTTTTATTTTGTATACGGTATTTGAAGTTTTTTTTTTCACATTTCCTTTTTCAAATATAAAACAAGGGAACATTGTTCCCTGGTAATAAAACCATGGTCGACTAACTCCCCTGGTAATAAAACCATGGTCGACTAACTCCGTAGGCCTACGTACGTGTGCTGCGTCGTCGTAGTCGCCTTAAAAAACGAAAACAGCTCTGGTATAGTACGCGAACAGTGTCTTGCCGTTGCCGTCACGGTTCCATTAATTCGTAGTAGACTGGCCGCGTAGTCAAAACGAAAAATGCCTACTGACTGCAGCCGCGGGCCGCATGGTGGTGCGATCCATTGTTGTACTAGCCTAGGCATCTGACAGTGAAGGAAGACTGAGGCTTTGTTAGTTTAGGATAGACCATGTGTACTACTGTATTTATTTCCATCTAATTTCTATAATCATACTGAAATTACCAGGCTAGCCAGTACTCAGAATACCGTAAATGAAGCAGAATAGCCTGCCTATGGAAAAACAAAAACTTGCTTAAAAAAAAAAAAATTAAAAAAAACCACTGCAGCAGTGTTATTGATTTAATTTTTTTAAAAATAGACTTTGCTTTCTTTATAAAGAACAATTGTCTTCATTATTATTATTACTATTACTACTTACAGAAGAAATAAGCAGAATGTTTAATGCTTATTCAAATATAAATAATTTTTTCATTTTTTTAAATACAGTACCAACCAGAAATTGAAATGTTGTATACCTCAGTACTCTTGTTTCCTGCACTGTATCAAAGTTTGTGTTTACAGTCTTGAAATGTAAGCTTTCCATAGTTATTGAAATAATGTTCTGGAGGATATCATAATCAATACAGTACCACCATGTATATTTATATTCCATAATAATTTAAAAGAGATAGGCTACGACTGTAAATACAGTGGCATTGGCTAAATTTCTAGTTATTTCCTCAACAGTTTTCATTGAGTGATGGGGGTCTCTTCAGAGCACCATTTAAATCTCTTGGATCTATGCACAATCTAATTTCTTCAGTGTTCTTTCTTGTTGCAACCATTGATGACACCCATGTTGTTGCCTCTTCTACAGGAGTGATGACGCCAATTTTTGTCATTCATTTAAGTTCTTTAATTACTTTATCCTCCGTGGGCTTTGGAATTTCCTTGGTGGTCTTACCACTGGCGGTACTGAAGGGTCTACAGACATCTTATATTTTATCGTTAACTTGTCCAAATCGTCACCAAAAACATCCAAAAACTCTGTTAGTTCTGATATATCTTGTGTTACGACATGCACCATGTTATCATTAACGTTTAACAACTCAAGTTTTAGAGAATCTGCTAATCCAATTATGGGAGTGTAATCACCATCAACAACATAGAATTTCAGTTGGTGTTGTTTTCCGGCTGAATCTATCATTAATCTTGCCATTTCCAAAGTAGTTATGGTATTACCACCTTATGTTATGGTACCAGATTTGTCACCAAAAACATCCAAAACTCTGTTAGTTCTGATATATCTTGTGTTACGACATGCACCATGTTATCATTAACGTTTAACAACTCAAGTTTTAGAGAATCTGCTAATCCAATTATGGGAGTGTAATCACCATCAAAAACATAGAATTTCAGTTGGTGTTGTTTTCCGGCTGAATCTATCATTAATCTTGCCATTTCCAAAGTAGTTATGGTATTACCACCTTATGTTATGGTACCAGATTTGGCTTTTCTGATTGGTCTATGTCATCAGCAGCTTTAATATTTTGCAGAGTATTTAGTGGTATTACATTACACTTGGCTCCAGTGTCTATCTTTAATGTGAGAGGATGATTGTTGATCATTACAGTTGTTTTTATTACATTTTTACTGTCAACTGTATCAATGTTTATGCCTTCTACAACAAAGAATTCTTCATTTTGTGCTTCTTCTTCTGTTGCGATATCATGCACTGTCTGCTTATTAGGATTTTTTTTGTATCTTTGTTTACCTTGGGTTTTCTTGTAACTATGCTTGTGTTGTGCACTAGTACCCCTAGGTTTCCTACACTGTGTTCCAAAATGTCCTAAAATTCCACATCTGCTGCACTCTTTGTTATATGCAGGACAATTATATCGTGGATGAGATGTCCCACACCTTCCACAAACTTTACTGTGCTACTGTGATTTGGTTTTTTCAAACTTCAGTACATCGACTGTCTGTGACAATTGCTTGTTTGCATTTTCTGTAGTTTCAGGAACCAGGCATATCGGAATGGCTTTATCCAAAGTTAATTCACTCTGGGATAATAACGCTTTTCTCACTACAGTACTTCTTTATCAACAACACATACGATCCTATCTCTTATTAGCTCGTCAGTTATCGGACCAAATTCACAACTTTTAGCTAGGGTTTGCAGCTTAGCTAAATATGCTTGGACAGGTTCATCTGGTAATTTAGAAAGAGTGTTGAATTTATGCCTTTCTAGTATAATATTCTTTCGTGGTAAGCATAAGTCACAATTTTTTTTTCTTTAGGTCTGCCAGTTTTTCAGGTGACTCAGCTGGAGTAACGTTGCCGTCAGCATCGGTAATTGCAGGTTTGTAGGTAAAACTCCTACTTTTTTGCAATGGCATCTTGGCCTGCAACATTTAATAATATGTATGCTTTCTCTTTGTCTGATTTATTACCATTGTCTCTTATACACATCTGCTCCAGTTAAAGTTTCAGCTACGTTTCCTTGAAAGGAAATCGGATCCGGTCGACGTATCCCATAGTCGGCCATTCGTTGCTATGGATGGGCCTAGCTGTACCCAAGCAGCAAACGTATACTATTGTACTTTACAAATATACCTTCAATATATGAATCCACTTGAAGTTGATTATTTTCCTCAACTTCTGACACCATGTATGACCAGCCTGAGGCACTTTGTAGATTACTAGGATTGTTTATTGAGGTACTGACCGACATACATGTATGAGATGGGTAACGCACCGAGAGGGCGTGCTTCAAATTACTACAATGTTCTACAGTAATACATGTGAATGTGTACTATGTAAATAAAGTAATTATTTATTATTAAGTATTGTTATAAAAATGGTGATTTATGTCATAAAAATCGCATATATTGAGTGAAATTGTGAATGACAGGGTGAATCTGTAAAGCATGCATGCCATGGTCATCTAACCAACAAGATACTGATTTCGGAAGGAATGGAGCCTTTTTTAAAAAGGAAAATCGTCGCCGTATATTTACGGGTACGCTATGCTAGGCCCCATGTGTCCACTGCCTAGCCCTCTGCCTCGCATACGAATCAAATAGAGACAAACTGTAATTTATAGACAATATTATTGTCTATAAATTACTAAGTGAGAAGATTACATACTTAATAATATTTATTTTAAGGGTATATATTTATTTCATACAAATTAATTATTTGTGTAGCACACGGTCTTCGAAATGTTCTGTATATTACGATCTTCCCGATCCAGCTAACACAAAATGTTTTGAATTGGTTTTAGTTTGGGTTTCGTATTTGTGGAACGTTTTCAAAACGTTTTTAAAACGTTAACGTTATAAAAGTATTTCTTTCTTTCTTTTTCTTTCTTTCAAGACATTTATTAATTTCCATAGAACACAAAACAATGCAATACAATAATAAGGATTTTTTTTTTGAACGTAAACTATGGAAGAAGGCATGATCCCGAGAAGACAAAGATCTTGTGATGGGTAGGCCTGAAAAAAATTATTAAAAAAAGTCAATACAGACAAAAATAAGAAGAGACAAAAAATAAATAAATGAATAAACAAACAAACAAACAACTGAAGTTCATGCGAAAGCAGAACATATCA